AGGTTGCTAAGTAGGCTCTACCATTTGGAATGCAATTTCAATGTTTTCAAGTCTCATAATGTAGATTCCAAATGTACTAATGTTTTATGTATGCCGAGTTAGAGTATGTGGAAATACTGCAGTATTTTATTTGACAGACTAAAAAAATCAATGTTAGCTGCAGCATGAAAATAGTTAAATAAAGGCTGAACCTCACTTTTGTGGCAAAAAGGACCAGTAATATGCTAATTTAGGCAGTGAAGCATTAGGTATGATATGCAAAGTAATGTGTATATATTGTTAGTTACCAGGAACAGCTTATAGCCATAAACCAAGCTGAGACTTGTTTATGGACTTGGTGTTAGCCCTACGATTTAATAAGCTCTGACACAAGGTTTAGTATATTCAATTCTGAACCATCCTATGTCTCTGTGGGAAAAGACACATGCCCAGAATTTTTGTATATTTCCTTTTAATATTATTTTGTGTGTGTAGGATGGGGGAGAGGAGATCTTAAGCCATAAAATTAATTCTAACTTTAAAATCTAGAGAATTTAAATTCCTTTTCTAATCATATCCACTCCATTCTTCCAGGGATTAAAGAATATTCAGACTGGCCAACAATTCCACAAGTGTTTATAAATGGAGACTTTGTTGGTGGGTGTGACATCCTTCTACAAATGCATCAGAGTGGAGAGTTGATTGATGAGCTGCAGAAAGTTGGCATCACCTCAGCCTTATTAGAGCAGGAAATGGAAAATGATAAAGGAGAAAAGAAATGAAACTTGTGCAATTACCACACAAAAAGATAAAGCCATATAGAACCATAGGTTCAGGTACAAGGCTTGTCTTTTAACATTTTATTTAATAGAAAATAGATGTTTGATAATTCACTCAACAGAAAGACTCAAGTTACCTTATGTATACATGTTTGTTATTGTACAGAATATAAATAAATGACTATTCTCTTGGAGATACTTTTAAAACCTGTTTAACTGTCACCTCGCACATGGAAGTAGGACGTAAGGAAATTCACATATTTCTTCAATAGTACACAAGATATTCGGTATGAGTTTTAAGATTTATTGTTAACAAAATATATCTGATGTACCTAAAATATAAGATCAGAATTAATTAATTTCAACTTCAAGTTAAGTGACCATACATTTTATTAACATTTCATATAAATTAAAATTGTAATACAATTAAATATTGTTTTAAGTGTGTTTCTTCCTCTGTTTGAGAAAATAAAACATCATCTTTCATAGAATCATTTATTAATTAAGAATGAGCTATTGATGAAAAAACCTGTAAAAGTAGCATATATACTATGAAATGAAATTTCAAATTATGGTTCTACATCTTTATATTATGATAAAAAATAAGAAAAGATCGGTCCTAGTAAAGGAAAACTGCAGATTTACCTTGTCATATTACATCATGCAACAAGCATGAGTACTGTGTTTGCATTATTGAGTAGCATGTCTTAATATGTGTATTCTCCAATTTTTTTTTTTTTTTAATAATATACAGATATTCATCTCCAATCTCCACAGAAATATCTTCTTTGAACTTATGACATGCCAATCAACTATGGATGCTATACTAACAGAGCTGCAAAGAGAAAACTATTGTTAATCCTGACTATCTTCGCTGTGGGGAGGTGAAGCTTGGAGACATATTTGTTATTCAGACCTCATAACTTCTCTAAAAACATAAAGCCGTTGACTGGATGAGTTGCATTAATCACTTATATGACAACTCTACTCAGTGCTGGAGAACAAATATGTCAGCACATAACTGTTTTCTACAGCAAGGTGAAATGTACAGCAAACTCAGACAGAAAACTTGGTTCATTGAAGCAGTTTTTATATTGTGGATTCAATTAGGATATCTAAACCCTGTTGTGGTCCCATTAAGTTTTTACCCCATACTGAAGTAAAAATATGTTATTATTACTGTTACAGCATTGCATATAAAACTGAAATGTAGAAAATAAAAAAATAATAAACTAAAAGTACAAATATAAACCATTTAAAGTTTACATGGAAAAAACAGACAAACTTTGTATATTGCTTCAAATACAAAAAGTAGATTACTTTTGTACCTGACTTCAGGCAAAAAATAAATAAATATCAATAAATCACAAAATAAATAAATAAATAAAACTAAAAACTAAAAAAATACATAAACAAATATATATAAATAAATAAATAAATGTGTCTGTTATGCTTTTATACTGGTCATTTGGTTATCTTGTATTTTAGTAACAAGAGTCAACGCATGAAAGTTAATGACAACTCCTATACTTCTATAATGTAATGCAATTTCTTTGTTGCAGTGCAATACTACTTGTGAATGTTATTAATTTATTTATTTACTTTTTACCATTGTTAATCAATTCACATTGGATGATGATCTCTAATGTCATACCCCTAATGCCAGGATGATGTCTTCACATCATACACAGTAAACCCTACTCAAATTTGTCCATATCCATACTGTAAACCCTAATGGAACTTCCTACAAACTCAATTTAATTAAAGAATTAAAAATGCTGAAAATGTTTTGAGAAGTTTGCATTAAAAAAAATGTTGATCATGATGATGACAACAATAATGATAATAATTATGATCATGCTATATCAATAATAGTTGTAGTAGTTATAATAATAACTATAATAACCAGACCAATAATGACAAGAAATATATCAGAAGTAGCAAATAATAATAGTTATTTCCGTAGTCATCAAAATATTTTTCAAAACAGAAATAAAGTCATTAAATAACAATCTTTGTAATCACAATATTAAGTTTTATGGTCATTATGAAATATACTGAACACTAGCTGAGGTTTACACAAGCAAGCTCAGAGATCAAAGAACTAAACCTTATTTGTGTACCTTTTCATAACAAGATCAAATATAAAACCTTTTGCATTAAATTTTCTGATATTCTTTTGCAATCATCATCATCATCATCATCATTATATATCATTCATCATCATTATTTTTATTATTATCATTATCATTATTTAATCATTATTATTATTATTATTACCATCATCATCATTAATTAATGATTAAAATAATTACTACTACTTCATGAAATTTACTGAAAAAATGTGTCATACCAAGCATCATGTAAAATATCATCTACTGTTAGTAATGCTGATAATAGAAGAACAGTTTTAGCAAATGGTATTTGTGCATATCAAAAATATCTCATATGAAATACATTAAAATCTTTCACCTTTACCCTTTGAAAATCCTGCATGCAGATGTAAACAAAATTCCCAGAAGACATTTCAAAATTGAGATTAATTTTTGTATTGATCATCTATTACAGCAACTATTTAGGTAGTAAAAGAAAGAATAGATGTATTTCATGGATTTTCATGTGCTCTGTTCAATTTTGAAGGTTACCCTTTAAAGTAACCATTTACTTTCTAATTGTTCTCCTGAAAAAAAAAAAAAAAAAAAAAAAAAAAAAAAAAAAAAAAAAAAAAAAAAACTTGGGAACTCATATGCATTTGAAGTCTACTTCTACCCAAGCAAATACAATTCAACTTTGGTGCATCACCTTACACATTACATTACAAATTCAAACAACTTCCTTTCACATGATATATATAATCATTCTGGAATTATATTTTCATAAATAGTACAAAAGGATATTAAAATGAAATAAATAACTTGTAACATATAATAATTTTATACTGTTTTTGCTAGAAGACTATGTCACTATCAAATACAACATAAAAATAAAACGCTAAGAATTACCAACGTAATAAGACAGGGCACTTAGTATGGCCTTTAATCCCCACCTCATAATGAGAAAGAACCAGATTCCATTTATTGCAATTATTTTTATGCTAAATTATTGTAGGTAGGACTACACTACCTAGCAACTTTGAATAGAAGCATGCCAGAAATATTTATAGTAAAGCTAAGAGGCCACTGTGCCATTACTAAGTGTGAGGGGTAAATATTACTACAATGATTTCTGTAAAATTTCTATGTACTTCAGGTACTGGGCTACACTTACAATAGTATTATTCCTACTCCTAAAATCCAACAGCCTTGATTTATTTCTCACTGATACAGGAATCATTTTATTCTTATTTTAAATTCTGCAGTGATCATGTGAAGACAGATGTAAAAGATATACTAAAACCCTTAATAATGACAGCCTTAACATATCTGATCCATATACCAATACCAAACATCACATCACTCCTATTTGAGGTAAATTCTACACTAAAAGTGTGTTCCTTTCTAAGTTTTGCTATCATAAGTGGTAAATGTGCATTTGAAAGGATGTCACCTATTGGTAGCTTGTATGTTACTACACAAACACCACTGTTAGACTTAGTTGAAAATCCCTTCATACGAACTTACAACTATCTTGAAATTTACTACAGGTAATGAGTACATCAAAACATTGCTTCTCCCTACCAAGGTGAGAAGTAAGATTTATTGCATCCTTAGCCAACTAGAAGAATATGGAGAGATGAGGTTTAGTGTTCTTCATAGTCAAAATGGATGTACAAACATTCAAATGTATTCATATGCATACACATACACACAGTGCATGTAAAAGTGGGGTGGTGTATGGCTGGTGTATCTGTGTGGTGTTGGGTGTGCCGACTTGTGCTCATGTGTCCACTAATGTTTATGTATATGGGTGTTTATGCATATGGGTCTGCATTTGCTATTTTTGCAAACAGATTTTGACAGTACATGAAATATATAAAAATTCTTTCCTCATTTCAACAAAAAAGAAAAAAAATCCTGGTTCCAAATAAAGTATTTACATTCCATGGCTATCATCATTAAGGGGAGAAGCAGCAGTAAGTGCATCTGTTGTGTAATGAGATGTTAAAGTATTTATGATTTTTTATATTTTTATGAAAAAGTTCTTATGAAAATTATTTCATACAACAATACTGTTTATCCTTACACACTATCTGATAGTCCATTTCTTAATAAATGTTGTAGAGGAATAACACAGTCAAGTTTGTAATTCACTCTGGAATACAAGCCAACTCTTGAAGGTTGGCAAACTGCAAGCCACTACATGAATGCATACAGATTACAAGCCGCAAGTTCAGGGAATACAAGCCATCATATGACAGACTAGAATGCAAGCCCCATTTAGAGAGACTGAGACGACTACCTCACATTTTGAGAGCAAGCAATATGTTAGCCACCACATGTGAGCATGGGAAGTACAAGCCAGAACTTCAGAGCAAGCAATTTGCAAGCCATCTTTATGAAAGCATGCAAAGTGCTAGCTGCCTTAGTAAAGACTGCTGCAGAGTGCAAGTCATGGTTTAGGGATATGCTGATAGTAAGTTATATCTTTGTAAGTGCCAAAGTATGAGCTATTACAAGAGAGCATACAAAATGTAAGTTACAATATAAGCTCCTGCAAAATGCAAACTATCCCAACATAGCTTGCAAGATGCAAGTCACAATATGTATGAGCTTACAAACTGTAAACTGCCGCATGACAGCAAAAAGCAAACAATCCTGCTGGTTATTGCAGAACTGAATGCTACAACTTTGGAGAAATGACATAAAAATATGAATTATCAACAAAGAATAAAGACCTTTTTTATCATATATACAAAATGCGTAGAATGAAAGATCAGCAATTAATATTTAAGAAAGAACTGCATTTGCAATATGAAATGGTCATATGTAAGTTTCACCCCTAAAATACCTACATTCTTGATAAATATAACTCTGTATCCAATACTAGCTCTGGCTTAAACTTGAAAGTAATCCATTTACTGTTTGGGTGGAGGGAAGCATTATCTACCATATTCATGAACAGACATCTTTGAGCATGAGATGTAACCAGTACATGTGATAAAAGACCTTTAAGGAGAACATAAAAACCATTCTCTGAAATATACATAAAATATTCTTAAATCAATCTTATATACAACATGGTGACAAGAGATTATCCTGCTCAAGACTTTTCCTCCTTCTCTTTATTGTACTTTTCCAGTTCTTTCAAAAATTGTGCTCTTGGCTTCATGACAGTCGGCTTGTCACCACGACACTTCGGACAAAACCATTTCCCTTTGGGCTTGTTAGTAAGCCCAACACATGAAAAGTGAAACCACTCAATTGGACAAAGATCGTTATCACAGCCAATCATCTCTCCGTACGAAACCTATGGAAAGAAAATTGTCTTCAATACATCACGCAAATATCATCTTCATATAATATTCATGAAAAAAAGGATTACAAAAAATCAAAACAAAATGATAAAAGGCACAAATAACTAAATTCCATAGATGTGCTCATTCTCTTTACATATTTCCATGTGTAAACTATATGAAACCTTACCTGTTCACAAAGACAGTATGTAGGCTCATCTGGGTCAATGGGTATTTCTGTTGGTGAATCTTCTCGTTCTCGTTCAACCTTTGCCTTACGTTTCTTCTTCTTTGTTGCTTTCTTTTGTGCAGAGCTCTATAGGGTTAAACATCACAAAAAAAATTAGCTACTTTCCCTAAGTATTAACATACTCAGTCAATGATTACAAAAGATCCATTTTTCTCTAATATTACACCAACCATTAGTGTCTCTGCATATTTAAGCACTCTGGCAAAGGGCAATCTATATGTATTTTGGCAATATAGAGCCTGTAGACATCCCTTGCAATTTGCCTTCAATTATAAAACTAATCTTGCCAATGATCTACATAAATACTTCCACTAAAATGCTAGAAAAGATTCCCACTTTGAAAGCAACTTTGAAAGAGGTCTTCTAATTATTTACCACATATCTAGTATATGGTTACTGTTATTATGAAGACTCCTCACTTTCTCCTATCAAATAAAGCAGCTTTCAGACCCTACCTTACTCGTAGACACCTTTTCCACATGTGGGGTGACAGGTGCGTCATTTGAGTTTTCATTGTGATTAGCCGCATTTTCGTTCCTTGTCCTCCTTGCTCGTTTACTTGCTCTCTCAGGCTGGGTTTCTTTAGAGGCCTCTTGCTTTTCTGGCTCTTGACCAAAATCTGTAAATAATATCCATAATTCTTATGATCTTATATATACTATAATTCTTTTACACCTTAAAGGACAAAATTTGGCCATTGTTTTTTATGTGTGCACTTTGGACAAAACATCGGAAGTCAAACCAAAAAATCAAATCATACAACTAATCATCTATCTCATAAACTTACAAACTGGAATAATCTGAGCTGAAGCAATTATATACTAATATGAAAAAAAAAAAAAAAAAAAAAAAAAAAAAGACAATCCTGACAAACTTTTCATGCTATCAACCCCCTGGTAAAGTTACAAATTTTTCATTGATCCCCAGTCTCAAAATCTTAACTAAAAATTAAGTGTCATATTCAAAAGAACATTTGAAAATCAATTTAGTACAAGCTAGTTATTATGAATCCTAAACTGGAATCCTTATCTAAATGTTGTAGGGTGTGGAAGACACCAGGGGAATGATACAGATAGAGACAATACAGACATGTAATCATAATTATTCCAGTTCACTCATCTCTTCACATAATAGATTGTTAAAACAAGTTTACACATGACTTCTGTAAAACCATGAAAGGGTATGTGTCTGTCCATGGAGAGACACCACTGACCTCTTGGGGTGATGGATAATTACACTAATAATAATGTTAAAATCATAAGCAACAATAACAATTAAGACATTTATAATAAAAAATAATAACAATTATGAGAATAATAACATGCATTGGTATTTTGAAAGATAAAAATATTAATAACAAAAATAATCTCCATAACAATAACAAAAATTCTGACAATGATGACAAAGATTACGATGATGATGATAAATATATATATACAAAAACAATAATATTATCAATAACAAGAAACTTGTTATTAAGTTACCTAAGTTTTTACTGTCGAGTTCAAGCTGTCTCTGTCTGTTCTCAATAATGTCCAAAATGTGTTGCACAATCTGGAGTTTATCATCTCCAATTTCTTGTGTCGATATCAACTTGTCCTGAATCTGGACCATTATGCGTTTTAAGGATATGGAGTCTAATTCTCCTTCCAGCTGTCCCCGCAATCCCTCCATGTCTTGTAATAGAGCTGCAAGGATAGAAATTCATAATGAAAATCTATTAGTGAAAAAATATCAAGTAAAAGTTGACAAGAAAGAAAAATACATAAATAAATAAACACAAATCTGTGTGGAGGAAGAACAGGGTATGTCTGTGTATAGAAATCTGTATGAGAGTAAGTAATTGTGTGTTTTGGTGGGTTTGTTTGTGGGTGCATGGGCAACAGATCTATGTATATGTGTACATGCCTTTGTGTGTGTAGCTAGGTGTGTGCGTATGTGTGTGTGTGTGTGTGTGTGTGTGTGTGTGTGTGTGTGTGTGTGTGTGTGTGTGTGTGTGTGTGTGTGTGTGTGTGTGTGTGTGTGTGTGTGTGTGTGTGTGTGTGTGTGTGTGTGTGTGTGTGTGTGTGTGTGTGTGTGTGTGTGTGTGTGTGTGTGTGTGTGTGTGTGTGTGTGTGTGTGTGTGTGTGTTGTGTGTGTGTGTGTGTGTGTGTGTGTGTGTGTGTGTATGTGTGTGTGTATGTGTGTGTGTATGTGGTGTGTGTATGTGTGTGTGTATGTGTGTGTGTGTGTATGTGTGTGTGTATGTGTGTGTGTATGTGTGTGTGTGTGTGTATGTGTGTGTGTGTATGTGTGTATGTGTGTTGTGTGTGTGTGTGTGTGTGTGTGTGTGTGTGTGTGTGTGTGTGTGTGTGTGTGTGTGTGTGTGTGTGTGTGTGTGTGTGTGTGTGTGTGTGTGTGTGTGTGTGAGATATTAAATATTCGCCATTTTATAAAGATGTAAATAAATGAAATTTCTCATACATTTCTATACACAGCAAGGTAATGTATATATGAAAACAAATATCTTAAATACATATTACAACAAATATCTGATGCATCAGAATGTATTCCTAGTTACCTTTAAATAGCTTTATGTACCAAATGCAATATGGTAGGATGGAATTTGTTCTTACCTTGATACCGAACATCCAGCTCTCTCATGCTGGATATTTCACGTTGTACTTCGTCTGGTAAGTTCTCCACGGTGTCTGTGTGGAGAGAAAACTTTTATATCTAAACTGCACAAAAAACTCTATCTATGCCTTCAGCTATCTTGTAAATATCAGATAATAGAGTAATTTCAATCTTTTGAGACTGAAAAGACTCTAAAATGTATGTAATATATAAATATATATATCTATATATCTATATATATTCACACACACACACACACACACACACACACACACACACACACACACACACACACACACACACACACACACACACACACACACACACACACACACACACACACACACACACACACACACACACACACACACACACACACACCACATTACTTGAATTCTTGTAAATATTTGTATTAAAATCTGTTATGAAAACTATGTGATAATATACAGTATTTGTAATCTACTATCATCATTTATGTAGTACTACCATGTGCATATAACTGCATGTATGGTCAATCCTGAGATACAAGTGTCTTGGGCCTTTAAAAAAGTCTCAAAGACCAAAGATTTGTGTGTATTGTATAGTCAGAGGCTCTCCAAATCAATAAAATTCACAAAGAAAGTGTTTTCAGATGACGTCATCAATAAGGCCATATTGGAGACACTGGAGGCTTGAAGCACTTGTGTGTGTCTATTCCTTCCATATGCTTCTCTCATTTCTGTGGATTTATTAAGCGATAATGGTGAATTACTGCCATGTCTATGGATTTTGTAACCAGCAAAATCAAGCTTTATTTATAATTCTATAAATTGCTGAAAATAATTCAAAGTCAAGGATGATATCTCTGTGGCTTTCTCGCCTTAATCAGAGTCTTGGAAGGGGGGGGGGGGGAAGGCTAACATCACAGTGTCCTCAGCTCATTTTTCAAATATTCTTTGTAGATAATATTACCTAAATCTGAGGAGAATAAAAAAACAAACAGTTCAAGAGCCAAATTTAGACCAAAAACTAAAAATGCTGTGCAAATTTGAGCATCACATCCTACATTTTTTGTTTTATAACTGAGAATATGGTACCAGTGAAATGACAATCATTCTCAGAGCACAATACAATTTCATCCTTGTAGCAAACAGTGTAGCAGGAAACAGAAATTATGTTTTTTTTTGCAGGCTTCAAATCTTCGGCTGGTGTAAATAATAAATAATTTACAAGGACTGGGTACATTCTTCTCTGGTAGGCCATTCCAGTCAGTTGATAAGTTTATGACACTACAGATCCATGCCACTGATTATGTCAATTTTTTTCTAATATCCTTTGTTTTTATTTGGTCTATGGGCGCAGTATTTTTCTGTGGCATATGATGGCTTTTTCAAAGCTATGGACATGATGAAACCGCTTAATTTTTAAATAAAAGCGTGTGTGGTCTTTCCCTTATGCTGCACTTTTTACAATGCCTCCAATATGAGATTCTAGCTATGTTCAAGGCCATCTTTGTAGTTTTGTGCAGTTTCTGCATGGTTTTCCAATGTTTTGTTGGATTCTGGCATCATGAATTCAGTTTTTAAAACAGAAATTCAACTGTCAGTCATGTTTGTTTACAATCAAAATACCTCCAATACGGTGGTGCATTCAGGACTTTCAGGTAACTGTGACATCAGCCCAACACTATATACACATATGGAACCAACTTGTCTGCTCATTTACCTTTAAACTCCTGTTTAGTACCTACAACTGAAATTTAAGACACTTTTCATCGATAGGCTTCTATAGTTGAAAATGGATATCTAATTTATTAACCCACTAGCAAAGGTGCATTTTGAAGCCGAAAATAATAGTTTCCCGGCGGCTTCAAAATTGGCGCGTAGGGCTGGCCCGGAAACTGCCCGCACGCCAACTGCGACCCATGGCGGAATCAGAGCACAAGCTCCAGTCCAGCATCACACTGGCAATTTTTTTTTTTCCCTGGTGTCTCATATGTGGGACACCCCACGTAAATAGGTTAAACAGACATAAGACCTGCAAGACTATTTGGCCATTGAAAATAAGGTGATAAACATTAGACTGATGCATTATATACCATAACTGATGCACAATTGTTTAGAAAGTAAGTCACCAGTCATACATAACAGCTACTTAATTTCACATGTATCTCCAAGTTGAATAATTTATTGTTAGTGTTCTTGTAATTATGGCAGAAACAGAGGCAACATTAAAATAGCAGTATTAGTTGTGATACAACATATGTACCAACCATGCAACCCAGAGATTTATTAAAAAGAAAAGAAGAAAAGAAAGAAAGAAAGAAAAAAAAAACAAAAAAACTCAAAGCTCTAACCTAACAAAATACAAGTTGCATGATGTTTCTTGATTTTCATCAGAGCATAATAATGGAGACCATAGAGATTATTTTGCACACTGCTGTGACCAAAAGAACTTATTCTAAACGTGATTCTAAAATTTTCTAAATCAATCAGGTCATGCTGTTTCTACAAAACATGAATCATTAAAAAGAATAATAACATTATCAAATGTGGGTGACTGCAAGAGCAGCTGCTGAGAGTCTCCAATTTCTATAGAATCCATTATCTACTGTTTAATAACTTCCTCCAGCATAATTTGTGATTATCATATAATAAAAATAAAAAGCTTCTTGGAATTTTCAACGTTAGGCTGAAATCAAGTATTTCCATGATATATCCCTCATAAAACTGATATCCCAGAAACACCCCAAGCCTGTTGGAAGGGGACAGGGTGATAACATGGCCACTAATGCTTTGCAAGAGACTCGAGCACCAGCTTCTTAAAATAATATCAACACCCATGACTTTTAGATATAAATATATATGTGTGTGTATATATATATATATATATATATATATATATATATATATAGATATATATATAATATATATATATATATATATATATATATATATATATATATATATATATATATATATATATATATATATATATATATATAATATATATATATATATAAATATAAATATAATATATATATATATATATATATAAATATAAATATATATATATATATATATATATATATATATATATATATATATATGTAATACTTTATTCTCATATTCTAAAAAATTCTATATTTAATGAAGATACAATTGTTCTTAGAAACTCCTTTCCTTTACAGGACATTTAATTGCAAGAACCCCACTTTAGGTGCTTACTCTTCAAATATTTTGATGCAAATTCTACCCTTTCACCACTGTAACATTGTTTCATTTTGAAAATAAAGTCTCATATAAATCACCTAGATGTTATCTTGATAAATTGAAATGGTAGTCATGAACTTTCTTTAAGGTAAGCCTAATACATGATTTTAAAATCAGACAAAGACATAACTGTTTATTACAATCTGAAACATTTGCAGTGATCACTGACAACCTCCACAGATAAAAATAACACGTTTGCAGACAAATCTGAAGTCTCTCCTTGTGAATATCTG